CTGTACTGGCTACTAGGAAGAAAATTAACACTATCCCAGCCGAAACCAGGACAGATAATCAGCACATTTATATATGACTGTTGCCTTATTCTGATAGACAAAATGTTGCAAGCCTCTTAAATGGTGTTCAGTCTGTGATAGAACTGAGACATGGGTGATGCCTTTTTTTTTTTAAATGCTTTTAAATCTTTGGAGTGCAGTCACATAGTTTCCATACAGAACAGGGATGACTGCAGTTGTATTTTCACACAGCGGTATTTCTTGCATTTGCTCAGCTTGCCTGTAGTGTAGTATTTAGGCAGAGATGTCTGTGAAGCCAGAAGTAAAAATAATACACTTAAACAAAAAACCAAAACAAAAAAGCACCAACTTTAAACTATATATTTTATAAATAGAATTGGCTGGGGCTTGTTCTCTACAATAAGTCTGAAATGTGGAAATACTTCAGGTTAATCTGTTGGCATAGCAACTTTGAGCAGAAGAGTGCTGTTGTAGTCAGAAAATAGTATATGTTATGATATTATTGCATGCTACTGCCACTTCTCTGCAGACAAGGCTCTCCGGGTTTCACATTAAGCTCATAATGATTCAGTTCAAGCTTCTGAGAACATTTGGTGGCACATACACTGTAGCTTAATGTAGTTATTACCGACAACATTATCAGTGTCACTCCTGGTACAGCAGGATGGCACCTAGCCTTGCAGTTACCATGCTGAGAATGGGCAGAAGGTCCATCTTACCTCCAACACAGTTGTATGGTTCTTGCCTTCATCATCAACTGATGGTTTATTATTGCTTCTCTTGGGATTGTTCAAAGGCTGCAGAAATTACCGGGAGGGATACCAGGCTGTTCCTTGCTATTTGGGTTAAAGGGAGTAGGAGTGTCTGTTCTTTGGGGGAGGGAAACAAAGGTGTTACAGATAGCGTACAAAGCACTTGTATATGGCAGCATTGAGACTCAAGTTTGTCTAAATGAGGAAAAACAGAATATCAAAGCCTTACACTTGGTCAATGCAAATGTGCTGTTATGAATTATTTTTTTAATTTAAGATTTTTGGCATCAACATTGATGGAAAAGCTGTCATTGATTTTAAGCCTTGTCTCCGATGGAGATCTGTTTGTATCTGTGTGCTCATACTTGAGTGGTGCAACTCACTGCAGGGCAAAAGATTACAAACTCCAATGATTGCAGTGGGAGAACTCACAAAAGCTTATGGTTCTTCACTTGTGTGTATCTTCTTATACAGAGAAATTCAGTGAATGTTAGTGCGCTGTGGAAACAATCTATGTAGCTGTGTGAGTTCTCCAGCACTGTAAAGGCAGATGCTGCAGGACCTCCACCACTGACCATCAGCAGTGCTATCTATAGTCCAACTTCACTTCTTTATTTTTTTGGTAGCAGGTCATTTTCTTCTTATTTATAGTTGAGATACTGTTGGAATCCCTGTGGATTTCTTCTACAGGAAGAGGCAGAGAAGATTGTATGTAATGTATAAGGTCAGTAATGGGATTTTCCTTCCTGAGTGCACAGAACTAAGCTGTGTCGACTAACGAGAGAAATCATCGACTTTGAGGTAGGGACAGAGACGATGATGCAGAGAGGGCTGATTTGGCTCTTCCTGGGTTGATGCAGCCTTGTCTTTCTAAGGGTGAAAGGCAGGTCTCAGGGGGATTTGAAGCCTTAAATGCTGGACTCAGGGAGAAGGGAAAAGGAAGCAGTCCAAGGAATGCTGGCAAAAGCTGCCAAGCATGCAACAGTGAAGGCCTGTGTGCAGGAGTGCCTGTCTCTCCTAGCTAAAGATCTGGATTAGCTGCACTAAGGGGACTTTCCAATCATCGCTTGTGGAACTTTGTTAGAGCTAAGGGAAAACATGAATGTTGTAAGACTCATTATAGTGCTGCTTTGTGCTTCAGGGTTGACACAGCTATTAAGGCAATGCTCAATGTTTTGAATTCTGAAAGCCACAGCACTTGTTTCAGATCTCAAAAGGAGGTTAGCATTTACAACATGCCATGTCCTTATTTAATCAAAGCTTTACACAGACTAGAGGAATAGAACTGTTCAATGTAGCACATGCATCAAAATTGCACATAGCAAGTGAGGCAGGTGCTCTTAACCAAATGGAAACCAACCTCTGCCGGCATCTAAAAGCCTTGTATTACAAAACTTAGTACAGAAGTTCTGTTCACATCTTTTATAGGAAGAATGTCATAAATGAGATTTTCTGATACTCCGCTAATCTAGAATCAGTAAGGGTCACTCTGCATCTGCAAACCAATGGACAGAGCCTTGGCTGAAGCCAGTGAAACTTCCCTACTTTGTGTTAGTAGGGCATGGAGACTTTAGCAGTATTATTTCTTTTTCAAATACAGTCAAATGGTAAGAGATACCAAAGCCCGTAGTAGCTGTGCTAAACACAAAGCCTTGTGCAAACTCTAATGATCTAATGTAAGCCCTATGCAGGATCGCAACTGTAATATTCATGACTAATAACTTGCTTTTCAGTCCTTTTACTCAGCAGTCTAAAAGTGCTAACTGCTACCTAAATACAGATGAAAAAGTGACTCTGAAAGATTCGGTATATGTGTTTCAGTCTTTCATACGGAAATGAAAGCTGGACACTTCATGACAAATCTTGAAGTCTCATGTACAAAACCTTCAGATATGAGTCCTTTGTGGTTTCAGCTGGATTGACACATTGTCAGCACTTTCTGACATTGTAATGGACAAAAATATATTTAAGCTTAATGTATTGTGTCCTGTTCTGAATTTTGGAGTTCTGTACGAATGGACATACTAATTAGAAAAAGCTGTGTAAAGAACAAGCTTGTCTGGAGATTAAATGCTGCTGAACAAATAATGCGTCAAACTGTCACAGTGACAGTTTTTTAGTGACTCAAGCTTTATGAATATTTACCAGAGTTGTCCTGGGTGAAAGAAATAAAGAACATTACTTTCCAGGGAACTGCTAAAGTTTTGGGTCTCCTGTAGTAGGAGCAAATGTTTGCTTTGTTAGCAAAGCATTTGTTGAGCAAGGGGAAATCTATGGGACTGTTTTGCTTTACATGTGCAGAGTATCAGCGCTAATGGTATGGATACTCAACAAACACCATTAATATGGGCATGAGTGTTTACCTTGGGAAGGGTGTGCTTCCAGCTAGCTGAGCTTAACAGCCCTCCTGTGCCAGGTTAGGCTGGGTTTGTTCGGTGTAACATTTCTGACATCATGGGCCAAGGATTTCATAGGACCTGAACTCAAAGTGAAGGCCTGTCTTACACATTTTAATTTTACTAGAACAGAAGTTTCTCTGTTAATTTATGTATCGTATATATTTCTTACTGCTGTGCTTTCAGTTCATACACACAAACAAAATAAACCAAATCATCAAATTGTTGCAGAATAAAATCACTTTCTGGTAGTGCAGAGAGAGAATTGATCAACAGTTGGAAGTCTGGTATCATTGAAGTCTGTTATCTGGAAATGTCTGCTAAAGTGCAGGCAATAACACTTCTATCTAAAGTACAGGTTTCATTTGAATTTGCTCAGTTCAGTTTTTTAATTTTGAAGAATTCTTTCTGTAGTGTAGGAAGACTCTAGGAAGAAAGTTAACACAAAGATTATTTCTAGAATTTCATCGCAGTGAAATTGGCCTGTGTGATATTGCCTCAGAGTAGAGATGCAGCTGGCTAGCTCAGTGTTGCAGTGGTGTATTACACCAGTGCTACTGTCAGGCTCTTTTGTCTGTAGAAATCTGGAAACAGTCAAGCTTTTTGATTAAAAATTCAACGGAAGAAAGTATTTCTTTGGTATTTCACTTCTGTCCTGAATCTCTACTTTCCACATTTTGTTAGTGTAACAAAATGCAGTTGTATTTATCAATAAGCTCTGTTGAGTGTTAGCACGTTAACTGTCTGCATTCCAGCACATTGGATCTGTATTTCCTAGAAACAGTAGCTTTGGGTAAAGAACGTGAGGCACTTTGAACTGGATTCTCAGAAAGCAGTGACTACTTACCCTCTGCTCTCTGACTTTCTAAAACCACTGCCTTTTTTGATACAGTATTTTCAACTCATTTAGATGGTCATACTAGAGAAGAAATTGTTTAAGTCCTTTATTACAAAGATCAAAAGTCATGGTTACCATTTACATACACAATTTACAAATTATTCACAAAAGGAATAACAGATATGCAAGAACTGACAGCTTACTTCAGCCCAAGTTGGGGATGGGACAGTGTACTTGTTTCCCTCCTTTATTTACTGAAAGAAAAGATATGTTTGGTTTTTGTTGTCTGTATGTGTTAAACACTGATCTAGTGTTTATGTAGCACCTTTAGTCATAACCATGCAAATGCTTACATGCTTATCTTTATTTGAAAGAGTGCAATGCATGTATACACATGCACTGGGATCTGCGCTCTTCACACTGCGGAGTGTTTGTTGGTCAGAAATCCTGTCGATTTTGGTATAATACAGTGGTCAGGCTTGAAAAAGTTGATCTGTAGGATTTAACTGATTTGAACAACGTGTCACTAAAATTAAAATGGAGATTGTTATCAGAACTCTAAGAACTAAATTAAGTATGGCTGCTGTATCTTTCAAGAAATACTATATGATCTTAAGATAGGTATTAGCCATGTTGTTAGATGTCTTTGATACCACAACTGATTTATTGCTTTTCCTTCATTCAGTTTATCACATTCTATATCCTTTTCCTAAAGCTATTCCAGAGACTGGGAAACTTAACAACAAAGAATCCTATTTTGAGAGATTTGGTGAATTAGCAAACTTCACAGAGTATCTTACAGTGCTTAACAAAAGGGAGAATGAGTTTCCAAATGCCCTGGTATGAAAGCACAATATCAACAGTGCAGTAGCTGCCATTTAGCTAAACCTACAAATATCCATAATTTGCACTTTTTGCTGTCCACTGGGCTGACATGTACAACAAAACGCTTGGAGCACACCGATTTAGGAGAAAACACAAATGTAAATACAGAAATCACCAATGTGATGTTGCATCCAAATTCTAAGCAATAAAACAAAACACTTCACAAAACTTGTTACATCTAGTGGAACCATTCAGTGGGAATAATCCAAATACTTCTGACAGTATAATGATGGCATGACTTTCTACCCAGCTATCAAATATTCTTTACCATGAAGTTTGCAGTACTCTCAGGTGACAGATAAGGAATGTTGCAGATGCCATGGTAAACTTAAAATACAGTAATAGGCAAAGAGTTAAGTGGCACCACCTGTATATACAATGTAGTTGTTGGAACCTTATGGAACAAAGCAACGTTACAGTATGCCTTTGTTAAGGCTTCTTGCTGGTTTAAAAAGGTAGGGTTTTCTTTAGGGAGATTGTCCAGCAGTATTGGTTTCACACCTCTTCAGTGGAAGGTCTCTTTATTGATCCACATAAGACTGCGCGTTTCATTTGGTTTGCATTCGTACTCAATACAGCCAAAACTGTTTCCCCATTGGCAGTGATCCCGTTTGTGGTAGTTGTAGAATTTGACTTGCCAGACGGTTTCAAAAACGCCAATGTCGTTAAACTGCGAGGAAGAGGGAATATCAGTGTTAGCTGATTATTTTGTTGGTTTCTCTCTCTTAATGGGAAACAACACTCTTATGAAACAGCTGATACAAGGGTTATTGTTCCTCAAGTCAATAAATCAAAGATCTGCAAAGGCTGCTCTAGCAGTCGTAAAGTGCTTTATGCTTAGGCATACATAAAACATGAAGGATCAGATTTTCCGTGTACTGTCCTCTTGCACTTTTATCTGGGAAAGGCAAGGGAGTAAAAATGTTAAGTTCCCATATGGATAAATGTTCCTAACATCAGGACTCAAAGCTATAATCCTTAGGATGACACAGCAGTAGTTGGCCTGATGATCTCAGAGTGGCTTGTATATACAGTAGATCACATAGCAGTGATCTGTAGTGATACAGGCCATCACTTTACCTTTATACCATACCTAAAGGCTGCAGTTAGGATTGAGAAGATTCCTTCTTTTGCTCAATCTGAAATCTTTAACGTCCCTGTATTTTGTAGCCTTGTGTTTGCAGGGTCTTGACTGAGACATGCTGCTATTAGACCACTTACTCCTTCCCTGGGATTCTGTTCTGCATTTTACATGAAACTTGAGCAAAAGAAGTTCTTTGTGCATGTCTGTAATTGCTACTTGTACTGTGATAGTGCAGCTTTTCAAACTTAGATAGGAGTAGGAGAAGCTAGGAAGGAGAGAATAGGTGTCTTTAGCAGGTAAGCGGCTAATACAGTGAAGGAGTAGTGAGACATTGACTCTAAGTTGTCTGATTGTGCTTGCAACTTTGAAGTGAATGAGACTATGGCTGTATAAATTCTGTAGAATAAAATCTCTCTTTTTTTTTTTTTTTTAAAAGCCACTGGCAGACACCCTTACAACATTAGAAAAACCTTGTGAGTGAGGCTTTCAAGGATAGATTATTATTTCAATTATAACGGTGATGTAAAATTTGAGTTCCTGTGCCTTGAGACCTTCCAGAAAATCTGAGGAGTGGGTGTGAAGCCTATATGTATTGCTGTTGGTGCCAGTAGTATGGCTTGTTGATTGTGTTATGTTGTTAGAAGATACTAGGCAGGGGATTCAGCGCTACTGAACTACTGTTCTTTAACATTTTTTCCTTTTAAATATTTCCATCACTCACTTTAATGACAGCTTCTTCACTTGACTGTTTTCCATTCCCATCATGTGCCTGGGAGCTGACCTTTGATCATCTGCCTATTATAATCATACTTGCAAAGTCAGTGTGAAAGCCCTTTTACACAGCAATTATTCCTGAGTTGCAAGCGGAGCCTTCTGTATCCAGTTTTCTCAGAAGGACATGGGTTTTTTTCTGTTTTCTTTTTTTCTAATTCAAGATGCGGTTTGTAAGCTGCTGCTGTGTAATGGACATTGCTTTAAACTTTCCCGCAGCCCACTGTGGTAACTTAAATTTAGCCTTGACAACAGCAGGAGTTGCCGTGTGCTGTCAGTGGAAGGTTTTTATTTGGCTCCAGTTCCAAGTGTTACCTTAAAGGAGTAGCTGAAATATTTCTGCTACTTCCTTTAACAAAGAGAGAACTAGGTGTACAGGGTATTTTATCTCTCCCAGCAACTAAAACCTTAATTAAGGATTTTTTTAAAATTAATCTTCTTTGATAGTAATCCTGATACACTCATAATGCAAGATAGTAAATGTTAAGCACATTGGATATTGCTATGCACAATCCACAAAGAGAAATTGTTAGAGGGGAGCATCAGCCACCCTCAGTGTGGAAACGGAGGAAGAAAAGGCATTTCTAATAGCGTTTGTAGAGGGTGATATGATACAAGAGCAGCATTTCATTTCATTAATATATGGAGGGTCTGAATTTCAACAAGATAGAGGAAGGAAAATTCTGTCTTCCTCCAATGACCCAGTTTGCTGAGCTACCCTGAGTAATTTGACTGCTGTGGATTTCTAGGAGAAGGAAAGAATTAATTGCAGAGCTTTTTCACTACCGTGTGTTTCCCTCCCAGCCCAGTACATGGCAGATGCAGAAGCTCTGTGGCATAAGGAGCATTCTGCATCCTCAGAGCTCCCTGGAATTCCTGTGGCTCCTGCAGCTGAATCCTGGCTCCTCCACTGGGCCTGTGTACAAGCTTCCCCAGGGAGGAGGGATGGCCCTGCTCTTTGTAGGTCAGGTTTAGAAGCCTGTTTTTCCCCGTCTGCGATTCTCTGTCATCCAGTGCTATCAGTGTGAATAGTTATTTAATCACTTCCTCTGAATTTGCATGCTAGGATGCTTTGATGGCTATTTATTACTGGGAATAGAGATCTAGCTTCTTTATTCAATCTTAGTCTAGTTGGACCAGGAATAAAATGAGACCCAAAGTGAGGTTTCTAACTCAGTTTACACCGTTTGCTAGACAGTTTAGCGGTTTCTGGATAGTGCGCATAATTCAGCATTCAGGTAACAGAAACGCATCCTCAGATTCTGGAATTCAAAAACAGGATTGTTGTTTTACATGTATAAACTATGGCTGTAACAGGTCAGATGTCTACTAGCCAGTTAAAGTAGGAGCACAAACAATTATTTATTTAAAGTTTTAAAGCAGATGGGAAACAAATTCTTATGGACCTTTATGGACCTTCTGTCTTTCAGGCATTAGACTGGCAGTATCAGACCAGTTTTTAACTGCAGGACTCACCTCACAATCTATTTCTAACATGAGTTCAGATTTTATGCCTTAAATAGTGCCCTGCTCTCCCTAGGATGCATCAGGATCCTGCCTGTTCTTGAAAAGGAAGTGAAGGCAGAAGTTCCTCATGGTTGAAGGAAATGGGAAAATTTCAAGCTGTATGCAATAAGGCCAGTTTTGAAGATTCAGGAAGTAGGTATTAGAAGCAGTTGTCAGACTGGGGTATCTGAGGCTGGTTCCTTAAATCTGTTCTGGTTCTGTCTAGCTGAGCAACTAAGTGATGAGTTAAACATGTAAATCCCTGTTGAGTTGCCTATATTAATACTTAAAAGTATCAGTTGTGGACACCTAAGTCTGTACTGAAGAACCTTTCTATCAAGATCAGATGCTAAAAGGGGTTGAGGACCTGCTTAATGCTTGAAAATCCTGTTAGCTTCATGGTTAATATGCCAGGATTTGATTTCTAAAGCAACTGTTTGGACAAATATTGTGGCTACTCATTCTGATGCTGCAACAGACCATCTCAGAGCTTGTCTCTGAAAATCAGACCCTCCTTGCATTTCTTGGAATTACTTCATTTGTGATTTGACTCGGTTTTCTCCGTAAGAAAAGCTAAACTTCCAGATTTTCAGAGTTGATATCAGTGCTACACTTAAGCCTAAAGGTGGCTATCAAAATAGGGATGCCTTAGTCAAAGCAGCTGGCTTTTTTTTGGGAGCGCTGCCCTTTCACCTCTTGGTATAAGGACATTGTGAAATATAACTGCAGTACTCAGCAGTGGCATCCAGCAGCCCTGTTGTGCTGGTTGAAAAGTCATACTGAGTGTTTGGTTTTCTTGGGTGTTAAAAGGAGGGGACTGTATAGGAAAGTGATTAACATGGACAAATACCTCAGGGTAGTCTTATTAACCTAAGATTGTGAAGTGGTAACTGCTAATGTGATGTGGGTCTCTAAAATTAAGTTAAGCATGCTGTAATTATTAGAAATGCCAAATGGAGGTGTTACAGATTTTATTCAGAAGGGGATTGCCATGCTAAATGATGATTCCAGAAAAAAAAAAAAAGTGAAGATAAAGATCAAGATGAAATCTTGCAGGCAGTGAGGAAATGTGACAAAAAGCTGAAATCTGGTGGGCTTGGCAAGGTCCTCAACTTAAGTTGGAACAGACCCTTAAGAGAGCTTCAGATGAAGATTCCTTACTGCCCCATTTCCCTGTTTTGATACAGGAGGCATAGAATAACCATCAGGAATTCCTCACAATTGTAATCAGGAGAGGGGAAAAAAACCCCAAACAACCAAACCAAAGTCAGAACAAAACAAATCTCCCTCTGCACCCCAAGTGTACCACCCAAAGAGTGCTGTGGAAATCTGCCTGCTGCTCTCCCTGTCTTCTGTCGGTTCTGCTGCCTTACAGGCTGTCATCTCACTTTGGGGCCGTGGCATATACTGATTCTGGCCCTTGGAGCTTCTCTTTAAGGTTGGGGTGAGGAGCCACTTGAATAAGAACTTAGGTTTGTGGATGAAGAGATAATGTGATAGTGGAAGCATATGGGGAAAGGGAGAAGACAGCCTTTTGTGGGGGGTTCTCATGCATGCTATCAGCCTCTGGCAGATCCTCAGGCATCCTGCAGATGCCACGTGGAAGGGGAGAGTAGTCATGCCTTGTGCTTGGAGCATGCTGTGCTCCAAAAAACCTGGCAGTGCTGGCAGGCAAAAGAGGGGCTCCCTGTATGCCAAGGGCTTGGGACTGGATTCCTAGCCAGGGACCTTGGTGGGAGTTGCCTGAAGTCTGTAATGTCCTGCAGAAGAGGCAAGAAGTTCAGCTCACATTTCTCTCTGCTGCAGCACCCCAAAGGGCTTTGCAGGTCTCTAGAAACCCCCTACTACTTCCTAGCTCTTGCTGCTCTCTTGGCTTCCCCTTGGGAAGCAAGGCTTGTGTTTCCCAGCTACATTCTGACCAGCGGTCTTCCTGGCACAAAGCAAAGAGGAGTGCAGCAGCTGTGATCTGACTTTGCCCTGGAATACTTCACCTCCACGTGTCCCGCTGGGAGTCAACCCCCCGCTGCCCTCCCTTCTCTTCCCAGGCCAGGCTTGGAGAACCACATACCTGCATGTTGACCTGGATGGGCTGTCTCTCCCCGCTCTTGGTATGGGGCACCCCTTCTGTGTCATAGATCCCTGTGTAAGAGGCCACTTGTGCGTCCCTTGATTTCTCTTCCAGTGGGACATTGACGCCCCCGATGCCCATCGTCCTGCAAAGAGACAGGATCCAGCCTTTCCGTGGCCCTGCATTCCCCCTTCCCTGGCAGCTTGGAGCCAGCATGTGGGCTTGCAGCCTGGCAGCCTCGGTGCTGGGGGATGCTTCAGGGATTTTAGCAGACCTGCAGGTGCTGCTGACTCACTGAGGCTCCTGGAAAACATCAGCGCTCTGCAGTCACCCAGGGAAGACGTAGAAAGGAAAGGCAGGAGGGATCTGAGCTCGTGTAGCTGGGGAGAGGTTATTCGAATCTCTTCTCCAGGGCTGCCCCTCCACCCAGAGCCAGTTCCCTGGTCGCAGTCCCTGCTTTGCCATGCTGCAGCAAGGCTTGGGCATGGTGCATCCCTGACGGGCAGGGCCTGAGGGACCTCTTCCCTCGGTCTCCAGGGCAAACCGTGGGGAAGGAGGGAGAAAAGGAGCTGGGCTTGAAAGAGCTCCGGGAGAAGGTAGGGAGGGAGAGGGAAGGAAATGACTCCCAAAGGCGGTCTGTCTCCTAAGCCAGCCGGGCAAAGCGCTGGGAACAGCTGGCCAGGGACCTAGAAACGGGGCCACCAAAGCAAAAGGGCGGGGAGGGAGAAATGACGGAAACCCCGTGCTGTCAGCCTGCCAGGAAAAAATATTAAACCTCTAAAAATAAAGCGGCAGGGAAGGGAGGGAAACCTCTGCAGGGGGGCCGCACTTACGTGTCCTGGACGGTCCCGGGCCGCAGGGCCACCTCGATCTTGTACTTGGCCCCGGTCAGCAGCTTGATGGTGCGGTTCTGGCCGAAGCGTTGCCCGTCCACCTTGAAATACACCGCCCCGTCGTTGGGCTGGATTTTGAGGGAGACGCTGATCTTGACGAGGCCGGGGAT